AGGGAGATGTGGGAACCCCCTGGGTGGTGGGTGCTGCTTGAGGGGTCTCCCGTGATGGGTCGTGTCTCCCCATGGGGTGGGTGCTGGAAGGTGCCAGACCCCCGTGGGTGGCAGAGTCAGAGCCCTGTGGTTGCCAGGGGGATGTGGGAACCCCCTGGGTGGTGGGTGCTGCTTGAGGGGTCTCCCGTGATGGGTCGTGTCTCCCCAGGGTGGTGGGTGCTGGAAGGTGCCAGACCCCCATGGGGTGGTGCCCATGGGTGGCAGAGTCTGAGCCCCGTGGGTGCCAGGGGGATGTGGGAACCCCCTGGGTGGTGGGTGCTGCTTGAGGGGTCTCCCGTGATGGGTCGTGTCTCCCCATGGGGTGGGTGCTGGAAGGTGCCAGACCCCCATGGGGTGGTGCCCATGGGTGGCAGAGTCAGAGCCCCGTGGGGTGCCAGGGGGATGTGGGAACCCCCTGGGCATTGGGTGCTGCTTGAGGGGTCTCCCATGTTGGGGAGGTGCTGATGGGTCGTGTCTCCCCAGGGTAGTGGGTGCTGGAAGGTGCCAGACCCCCATAGGGTGGTGCCCATGGGTGGTTGGACCCCAGTGGGTGCTGGAGCCCGTGTTGGGGTCCTTTCCCCCCACCCATGTCAGTGTTCCTGGGGTGCCACTGAGAGCTCGTGTCTCCTCAGCTGCTGAACTGCCACGCGATCCCCGAGGTGAAGGTGACGGCGTGTCTGGTGTGGAAGGACTGGCCCTACCGTGTCCACCCCCACGGGCTGGTGGGCAAGGACTGCAGCAACGGGCTCTGTGAGGTTGTCCTCAAGCCCCAGACCAACCCCAAGCACAGGTACCATCACACCAGCATGAGTCCCACCACCCACAGAGACCTTGCACCGGGACGCCGGTGGTGAAACCGGTGCTGGCAGGACAAGGGCTGGTTTTTGGGGGGGTTCCTTGGGCAGTGGGAGGTTGGGAGAGGCAGGACATCCCTGGGGTTTTGGATGTGGGGGGAGCCACCTCCCCACCACATCTCTGCTCCTCGGCAGCTTTAGTAACTTGGGCATCCAGTGTGTGAAGAAGAAGGAGATCGAGGTGGCCATCGAGAAGAAGCTGCAGTTGGGCATCGACCCCTTCAAAGGTGGGGGGTCTCCCTCCAGCAGGACTATTCCTGGGGGATGGAGACCCTATTGCTGTGAGGGATCCAGATCCCATGGGGATGTCCCCAACTGTCACCAGCCACACTGACTGTCCCCTCTCTTCTCCCTCAGCTGGTTCCCTCAAGAACCATCAGGAGGTGGATATGAACGTGGTGAGGATTTGCTTCCAGGCCTCCTACAAGGACGGCTCCGGGCAGACGCGGCACCTCAGCCCGGTGCTCTCAGAACCCATCTTTGACAAGAGTACGTGGTGGTGGGGGGTGACTTCATGTCCCCTGTGGGGCCACCAGACCTCCAGAAGCTTCCCTGCTCTGGGGTGGGACGGGTGGGGAGGCTGCAGCAGCTGGTTCCTCGCCGGGGTTCAGCTCAGGCTGCAGCTTGGCCAGGGTTGGTCCTACCTGTGGGGATTTGTCCCTGATGTTCTGGTTGGGACCGTCACCTGTGTCCCACGGGGCTGGGACCCTGTGCCAGGGCTGGTTTGGGAAGAGATGATGCTGATGGGAATGTCCCCAGTGTCCTGTGTCCTGGTCCCCAGTACAATTCCTGGGTGGTTTGGGATCCTGAGCTGTGATGTTGTCCCCAGAGTCCACCAACACCTCGGAGCTGCGGATCTGCCGGATGAACAAGGAGAGTGGTCCCTGCACGGGTGGTGAGGAGCTCTACCTGCTCTGTGACAAGGTCCAGAAAGGTACTGGGGACAAACTGGGAGGGGGGGGTGGGTGGGGATCCTGCAACCCTCAGGGCATCTTTGGGGACCAAATGGTGCTCCCAGGAGGCCAGGATGGGGGAGAAGGAGGGGG